GCACCAAAGGAAGGTCGTTCCAGATCAATCTGTAGGCTTTCTATGATGGAGTGATAGCACTGATGGACAAAGAGAAGGTGACCAGTGTCACCTACCTGGCCTTCTGCAAGGTCTTTGACAAGGTCACCCACCACAACCTTCTCTCCAAATTGGAGACACACAGGCTTGAAGGGTGGACAATTCGGTGGATAGGGAACTGGTTGGAAAGTTGCAGCCAGAAGGTGGTAGCCAATGGCTCTATGTCCAGGTGGAGGCCAGTAATGAGCACTGTTCCCCAGGGGACTGTCTTGGGTCTGGTATTCTTTAACATATTTATCAGTGACATAGATGATGGGATTGAGTGCACCCTCAGCAAGTTTATTGGTCACACCAAGCTGACTGGTGCAGTTGATACAGCAGAAGGAAGGGATGCCATTGAGAAGGCTTTGATAAACTCTAGAAGTTGGGCCTTTGTGAATATAGTGAGGTTCAACAAAACAAAGTGCAAGGCTCTGTACTTGGGCTGAAGTAATCCCAGATATGTATACAAACTGTGAGAAAAGCTCCTTGAGACTAGGCCTGCTGAGAAGGACTTAGGGGCCCCGGTTGATGAAAAACAACCTGAGACAGCAGTGCCTGCAGCCTGGAAAGCCAATGATATCCTGGGTTCCAGCAGAAGATGAGTGGCCAGCAGGGCAAGGGAGGTGATTGTCCCCCTCTACTCTGCCTTTGTGAGGCCTCAGCTGGAGTACTGCATCCAAATCTGGGGCCCCCAAAACAGTTAAGATGCAGAGCTTTTGGAGGAGGGCCACAAAGATATTTCAAGGACTGGAGCACCTCCCCTACAAGGACAGGTTGAACGACCTGGCCTTGTTCAGCCTGGAAAAGAGAAGGCTGAGGGGAGACCTCATTGTGGCGTTGCAATATTTGAAGGGAGTTTATAAACATGAGGGAAAACAGCTTTTTATAAGAGTAGACTGTGACAGGACAAGGGAGAATGGTTTTAAACTAAAGGAGTGGCGATTTAGATTAGATATCAGGAGGAAGATTTTTACTGAGAGACAGGTGAGGTGCTGGAACAGGTTTCCCAGAAAGATTATGAGTGCTCCATCCCTGGAGTTGTTTAAGGCCAGGTTGGATGGGGCCCTGGGCAGCCTGATCCAGTATTAGATCTAGCAGTTGGCAACCCTGCAAGTGGCAGGGGGTTGGAACTTGATGATCTCTGGAGTCCCTTCCAACTAAAGACATTCTATGATTCTGTGGTATCTTATCTCGGTCTTGTAAGAATCCATAGATTATGATCAAAGGAAGAGGCACAAGCAGCTGTCTCCATAAAGGAACAGAAAAATGTTAAGCTAGAGATAGGATAAAATCTCATGCGTCAATGCTGCCAGCCTAGACATTCATTGCACTGAAGAATATTCTTAGAACAATAAACTATACCGTAGACTTTTATATCTACTTATTTAGTATGTAAAAGGCAATTTGTGCAACAAGATGTAAACCAGATAAAGGCATTCAGTACAAATAATTTTTATACGAGGAGCCAAGTGAATTAAGATAATTCACTCTATGGTGCTACAGGGAGAGGAAAATTATAAAAATCGAGATAAACAGACAAGAATAAGATACACTACTGCATATCAAATGTTTTTCACATCTTACTCAAAAAATTGACGGCTCACAGCTCATTCCGTGTTTCTGCAAAGAATATACAAAAAACAACTGTACAGATCTTGTATATAGGCATCCTAGAACTACTTTTTAAAGCATAGTCATATTAAAATAACGCTCCAAAATAATGCTCCACAACATTTATGGAAAACAAGATGTATTATTACCTGGCACTGGCTTTGGAACATTTTTAGATCCTCATAGAGTTTCAGATTTTCCTCTTCTAATCTGTTCCTGCTTATTGTCATTTCATTAACTGCTGCTGTTAGCTTTTCAACAATTAACCCATCCTTTTCTCTTTCAGGTTGGCCATATTTAACAATCTCTTTCTGGTTTTGTTCCTTATTGCTTATCTGGAATTGATAACTCTGAGTTCGCTTCTATAAAACAATAAAATATTTTTAATGAAATTCAATAATTACATCTAAATTTTCAGGTCAAAACAGTTCTACTGAAGTGATTAAGCTAATTTCTATTTTCTTCATCAGGACTTGCTTAGAAAAGATGGCACCTTTGAAAAGGTTTGTATCACTATTCTAAAAGACACTTCCTTTCCTTAGCCTCAAGTTCATTATGTTCAGTGAGAATAACATTTCTAAAACTTACAAGAGTACAGAATTTTTTCAACAATTTTTCTCTGTTGTGTATTTCCCTAGCACTTTGATATTAATTAGCCTCACAAGTGAAAAGGTGATTATGATGACCTACTCAAAGCAGTTACCTATAAAAAATGATTTGAGAGAAATGTTTCTCTTCGGTATAATGAACTCAGTAGGAGATGTGTGTGTATGCCTCAGGATTGGCATTAACCTTTGACTAAAAGGTGAGCAGCATGCAGTTTGTAGCTCAGTTACTGCAGTAACTGTATTTTTTTTAATCATTATTGTTAATCTTGTGGAAAAATCATTTGCACATTCAGCATCTCTGGAAACAGTAGTTCACTCAATTTCTTCAATTTCTTGTACTCATTAAATAATTCCAAAAAGAAAACTTCAGAAAATAGGTACTGTGGTATTTGTGAATTCATAGGCAGTGTGAAGAACCACAATCACTATGGTAACTGTTTAAAAAATTATCCATACAGATCCTTCCACTTGGACACAGCAGCACTAATCTTTCAGAAGACTGAAATTCAGAATTAGCTGAAAAATGACACCAATAACCTGCAAAGCATATATCATGTGAAGAGATCAAGTTGAGCAAGAAAATTTAAATAAAAAAAGTAGTGCTGCATATATTTTATTTCCTTGATAATGACTGCGAAAAGAAATTCTTTCTTTGTACCCCTTCTGATTTCATTGATTGTGTTCTCTTAACTTGTGCTGGATGAAATGGACCACAGGCTGCATATTAAATAAAAAGCCTATATAAGTTGGCAAGTAAATCTAATGTATGTGGTAACAGATTAAGGTCCCCAACATCTAAGTTATGGAGTTTGACAAGCAAAGATGTCAAAGCATCCGGTGAAATAAAAGTTTTGCTTCTGGAAATCAAAAATCTTACAGATGAGAATTTGGACCAAAGATGCAGAACCTATTGATGCTTTAGAAACAATCCATCCAACTTATCATTAATAAAGTAGCCTGATGTTACTCGTATGATGTTACAGTTGTGATGAAAGCTGTCTTCAAAGAGAGTTCACTGATGATAGCCATCTGACCTTTGACAGAAAAACGTGGATGATCATCTTAAGTACTCTACTTCAGCTTGTCTACTTTACAATCAACTTAACATAGACCAGCCAATGGATTTGTCAAGTCAAAGACATATTTTTTTCAGCCATTTGTATGAAAGTTCAGTAATAGCAAAAGAATGCTTTCCACATCTGTAAATGAAATGTAACTGTCATCCTTGGAAATAGTGGATATGGGTAAAGAGTCTCGTAGGAATCATTAAGAACATGTTTCACCAGATTAAGATTCAATCAGCTTAGTCCCACTGGAAAAGAGCATTACCAGTGAGCAATGTAATTGGCTTCCCAATGCTTCATTTTGAGCTATTTTGTAGCTCAAATAATATTTAAGTTATTTCTTTAAATTTTTTTAAGAGCACAATAGGTCATCAAGAAATCATTAAATGTATTCTTTGTTCTAGAATGGAAATATTTAACACAATAAAAAATATTCTATACAACTAGGCTATATAATAAATACAATAAAGAACTATGTGAACTGGCAAGTAAAAAATGGATCACAGAACCAAGAATGGACTGAGTGGTAACTGAAAGATGAAAACTATGATCAAAAACGTATCAGTAATCCAACAAACACATCTAAGTGAGCTTTTGGAACAGCACAGAGGGATCCAGTTTTTTGTATAAATGAAGTTAATGTTCATTTATGATCCTCAAATAGTGAGGCGATATCTTAGATTGGAGGGAGCTTCATATTTTGACCAAACAGGAGTGAGATGTTCTATCTACAGTGGAAGTTAAATTTCATAACTTGTCATCACAATTATTGTACAAGGACTGCTCTGCAAGTAACGCCTCCCGTTTTTGTTCTGTTGACCCACAGCGTCAGAGTTGAATATTGGTAGGATGGCAGTGGAGGTTGAAATTTCCTGCCAATATTCTGTCAGATTTTGTTGCCATGTGACAGATGAGCAGCAGAATGGCAGTCTGACAAAATGGAGACTGACATGGAAGTTTGGAGGTGTGAAATTTAATTTCTCAGTGTGGAAAAAATTCCACATTGACATTCATTAATGCTTACTGAATGTTTCTGGAGACCAAACAGTGGATGTGAGCACAGTGAAGCAGTGGGTGGTACGTCACTGCAGTGGCAACAGTGACAGCAGCTCACCTCTGCTGGTGCAGACATTCACAAGTCTGGTGTGCAGGCTCATCTTTGTGCCTGGCAAAAATGCAGAGCTAATGGTGATGAATATGTTGAAAAATAGTGTTCTGCAGCTGAGAACTATCAACAGTGTTATTGTTCTCTTTGTATCTGTTGCAACTTCCATGGAAATGAATAAGACATTACTTTCAGAGCAACCTACATATGTTAGTAAATAGCATGGACAATAAATCTAAGTCCACAGTATACCTGAAAAATTAAAAAGGAACGTGCATTGCTTTTTACAGTTATCTTCAGAGGAAATATCATAGTTTTCATTGCGAGATTTATTTGTATTACATAAGAAAAACAAAATTAAAATAACTGCATGTATCAGTATCTTTCAGTATGGATCTTTCTTACTTAAAATAATGTGTCCATATTATTTTTACGTTTGCTATAAGCTTAGGAGTGTTTAGATTTCAAAACATAGATTAAAATAACTCAAACTGAGCAAACAGCTCATTTAATTCTTGACTTCCTTCTGAAGAAGGAAGGTAGGAATTTTACCTGAAACGAATTACATTTCTCAGACAATAATTTTTGCTGAGCTTCTAAACACATGAGATGATTTTGGAAGATTGTCTTTTCCTCATCCCATTCTCTCAATTTTGCTTCAAATTCCTGAAATACAGCAAAACAAAGTTACTAAGCAGAAGGAAAATTCCTCTTTTTCCTTAATCTAAATAATTTATTAATTTTATCATTATAAGAAAAGCACAGTTCTGTAGCTGATATGTAATATTTCCATAATTTTGGAAAGAGGAAAAAAACCCCAATGATATAAAACAGCCATCCAGCCACAAGACAGCCTCTCTGGAAAAAAGTAATCTTAGAGGCTGGTAATCTGAAAAAGTTGCGTGGTGAAATAAGCATAGAATCGCAGAATCACAGAATTGCTCAGGTTGGAAAGACCTTAAAGATCATCGGCTCCAACCACAACCCAACCATACTACCCTGACTAACAGCCCTCCGCTACATCCTGTCCCTGAGCACCACATCCAAACGGTTCTTAAACACATCCAGGGATGGTGACTCAACCACCTCCCTGGGGAGCCTATTCCCGTGCTTAAAAATTATTTTTGTAAACAAGTGTTTCCTGAGATCCAAATTAAATTTACCCTGGCGCAGCTTGAGGCCATTTCCTCTCATCCTGTCACCTGTCACCAGTGAGAAGAGATGAGCTCCATTCTTGTTGCCATCAGCTTTCAGGTGTTTGAAGTGAGCAATAAGGTCTCCCCTCAGCCTTCTTTTCCCCAGACTGAACAGTCCCAGTTCCTTCAGTCTCTCTCCATAAGGCACATTCTCTAAGCCCTTCACCAGCCTTCTTGCCCTTCTTTGGGCCTGCTCCAGCACCTCAGTGTCTTTTCTGTACTGAGGTGCCCAAAGCTGAACACAGTACTCGAGGTGGGGCCTCACCAGTGCTGAGTACAGGGGCAGGATGACTTCCCTAGTCCTGCTCACCACACCATTCCTGATACAAGCCAGGATGCCATTGGTCTTCTTGACCACCTGGGCACACTGCTGGCTCATATTCAGCCAGCTGTCCATCAGTACACCAAGGTCTCAATCGCTGAATAGAAATGACAAAGTATTTAAAATCACTTCAATTGCTGTAAATCTTACAGTTATGACTATAAAACACCAATTATATTGGAAGGCAGGCGGCTCCTGTGACTTTAAAGAAAAGTGAGAGTAATCAGCATGGGATCAAACCCTTAATAATCAGACAAATATTTTGAGTGCTTTTTTTGGTTTTCCTTTTCTTGAGCAAAGGAACAGCAGCTACAGTGAATAAATGTTACTTCTTGTGGAATTGTTCAATTGCTGTTTCTGGACTTTTTTCCTAACTTCACCTAGTTTGCACAAACTTTTCAAGAAATGTTATTACAATCAGGTTTTGCTAGTAGTAGTTTTGTGTTTGGGTTTAGACTTATATATAAATAGAATTGTTTCGTATTTATATACATATACTTGTATTGATATATATTTGTATTTATATTCCCATTTACACTGCTCGAATTTTTTCTTATATCAGATCTTGTATTCTTGTCACAACTGACTTTAAAGGCAGTAGTCTACAAATAAATGGGAGAGCTCCACGGCTAATAAAGTTCTAGCTCTTCTTGTTTGGATGAACAATTAGCAAAATTACAGTGTATATGCACGTGGCGGGGGGGTGGAGATTCAAGATCCTTGAGGTCCCTTCCAACCCTGGCCATACTGTGATTCTGTGGTTCTGTGATATTGGTTTACATAGCGAAAAGCAAAATGCTCTTATGAGCCTTTATAGGATCTGCCTTTTTCACAATGGAAACGTTGGTCCCAAAAAGGGAGATGAGTTTTTATAATTATCTTAAACTGACATATTCCTCTAATACACACATACATACACAGCTACTGCAATGAGATCAATTGCTTTTCAACATAGATTAATACAAGTTTTAGCTTTTATAATGTGTGCTTTGGTATTTTAAATGAACAAAAACCTTCAGTTTCACCAAATATCATACAGATGCAGTTTCAGTCTGCTAAATGAGGACTGCAGGCTTAAGGCCTTACTAAAGGACTGCTGAGTTTAGTAGATTTTCAACACTGATTATTTCCTAAGTACTAGAATTTTCTGTATATATTTCAAGCAATCATTTCTCATACTGCTTAATTAATCAAACGATACAATTGTCTTACATTATTTTCTCATTTTAATCTTGAATGAGGTCATTCTCAAATGAGCTGGATCAGGCAGTTTCAGACTACTGGTATGTTTAGTCAATTATCAATGTATAACCCATTTATTGTTCTTGCAGTGGTAGATGCTGGTAGCTCTGCCAAAATCCAAAGCTTAGCAAATTTTCTGATGATAAGGACTCTCCCACGTGGAAGAGGCATCATTTATGTATTATGTAAAGTGACCTGAAGGTGGCAGAAGTTGCCCCTATGTGTTACATCATAACAGGAAGGATAGGCAAGATCAAAACATAAATCCTGAAATACTTTTAAATTGTAATTTAAGTATGAAAGTATTTATAATTGGTCAGCTCTTAAGATTTCATTTGTGAAGTTCTCCAAGTGTTTAAATTGTCTACCATGATAAATATATATAAATCTAAATCACGAGCATCTAAGTCCTCACCATGCTTAAAAGCTATGCAAGTAGCTCACACTTAGTTTCTACTGGTATTCTTTTGCTTACTTGCCCTACAGAACCAGGTCAGGGAATGCTTGAAGCACACATTAATTTTTTCATGATATCTGTAAAGGATGGCTGGAGAAAATATTGATTTTTTTTTTTTCTGATCCTTCTATGCTACATCAGTCTAGAGGATAGACTGTTCTCCAAGTACAGGAAACACTCAGTTTAATAATCTTCTCTCCAAACAGAATTTGAACCAGGATCTCCTCATGTTGATTTTCTACATAATCAACTACACGCTGTTTTTCGACAGTTTCTAGAATTTCTCTTCTGGAAGTTGTTTCATTTTGCAAAGAAAATGTACTGGCTAAGTAAGAAAGCAGAAGGAAAAATTAATAGAGCTAGAGATTACATTGCTCAATCCTATTTTTCTGTGCCAGTGAATGTACCATAAGAGTATTTGAGGAGAAGCTGCCATGTAGAATCTCACTCTATAAGTGCCAATTTTCTGTGCTGGGTAAGTCTCCCATTGGCTCAGTAAATATTTCACTACTCAGCAGATAATAATGGAACTTCAAACTCTTGAGAAGTCAAGGCTGGGAATTCTGATTAGAGATCAGCATCTTACTGTATCCAAGAATAAGTCAGCTAAAATACTTTCTGTGTCTGGTTGAATAGAGAATATGACTGAATCCTATCCTCAACATCACAGATTACCTGATTCCCCACTCAAAATGTTGGGTTCTGCAGACTGTATTTTTAAGTGCCTTATCCTTGCTGATGTGTGACCTAGGGAGACTAAGCACTGAAGTCAAAGCTGTGGATGGCCTCAGATGTGTAAGTGCTAACAGGATGCATCTATAACAAACAGTTTTTCAGTCTTAAATCCTTATTCTATCTAGCTCTACACAATAGAAGTTGTCCTGAAGTCTGTAAGACTTATGTAAATGGTAGATATCATGTGACAAAATCCTGCACATGCAAAAACTCTCATGCCTAAACATATGATACTCTCCAGTACGCTTACAGGAAGTAAAATTTATTTATCAATACGTTTATGAAGCAAATGATGTATGTTAACTCATAAAACTATCAACAACACTCATAAAACTTCAGCGAAAGAACAAAACTTGAGTATCAAACTATGCACCTTTTCTTATGTGTCTTTTGTAGAAAAATCAGATACTTGGAGTTTACGGCTGTAACCAAGAAATTAATTCTAGAGGCATACTGGAAAATATAGGGTGGTAACAAAATATTCTTACCTCCAGTTTCTTCTTTAAGTTGTTCAGACGAACTGATGTCTCTAGGCTTTCTTTACTTATTTCTCTACTTTGATGATTTTTTTGTTTTAATAGCTTGTTATAACTACGTGTCAGCTTCAAAAACTAAAAATAAAAGCAGAGGGGAACAGACAGAATCTGTCAAGGATGACTGTGTGACCAAAGTTCTCATTAAACTAGAGTTGCCTAGTGCAAGTTCAACATTCTAATATTTAATCAATACAATGAAGAAGCATTTAATAAAATGAATCTCTTGGAGATGAACTAAGCTCTCCCTCAAATGTAAACTAACATTTCAAGTAGGTTCATTTAACAACTACTTAATTATGCTGAAGATTGCTATGGCACCATTACCCATAGTGTCACTGCCGCTGTGCTTATGTGAAATTTTTACACTTGTTTACTGCCATCTTGTGTTAACAATTTTAAAGGGTGCTTCATCAACCAAAATGAAGGATTATCACTAAAATATTTTAGGCTTGCACATTTCCTTTCTATAATGGAATTTGATGAAAGGTTATGCATGGGGTGATTCCTTTTCTTCTGGAATTGTGGAGTTCCAAAGAGCATCTTTGAGAATTAGACCCCAAATACTGTTCTGCCTATTGATCTTGCTATGAAAGCATGGCTTAGGTGTCAATGGCAAAGTCAGGAAGGTATCAGCAGAAGTACAAGATTCTTCAGAAGTGTGGTCACTGAACAGTTTGCTACTCTACATCAGCCTGAGGAGGGCTCCGCTATTCAGAGTTAGAAAGAGCTGCCCTCAAATGCTTATACATTTCACCTCTCTCATCTCAGCATACACTGAGAGGAATCGTATTCCAGGAGTGTTTAATTCCTTCCATCCTAAAGGATTCCTTGCATTCCTAAAGGGAGCACGACGCAGCTCAGACTTGGACATTAAATTCTAAAGGCACTTAATTGCTAAAGTGCTTAGAACAAGAATGGATTCTCCTTCTTGTGCCAACGGTTTTCTGCCATTTTCAAAATGAGAGTAACTAAGTATCACTATAGGAAAAACAAAACAAAATCAAATTAAAAAAACAAAAAGAAAACCAGAAAATAATTAAGATGAATCCCTGAAGTTTTTGCTACTGAAATATAACAAAATGCTATACATCTGAATGAGTGCAAAAGTGTGGTTTAAGAGCTTCAGATTACCTATCAGGAACTATTTCTCTAACACAAAATAATACTTTATTGCAGTCAACAGGAATATAAACCTTCTGTGGGAAGGTTGCTCGTTAAACAGTTGCTCATATTAGTATCAAGGGTAAAAAGCACCGAGGACTACAGAAGAATTGTTATCATAGAGAAATTTGTTCTGAATAGTCTAAATACTGTTAGGGAGAGCTAGAAAAAGCAACCCTTTCTATTTCTGTCAAGATTAGGAAGGAACAAAAATTGCAAGGGATTTTAAGACAACATCTGCACAGAAAGATACGATGTCAATATTAACATGCTATTTGTGCAAAATTAAATGGCAGCTCTTAAGGATGTACATTGTTAAAGGAGGTATAATGTTCAAGTGAAGATAAGAACCAAAAGAAGGGAGAGAAAGGATCACAGAATCACAGAATCACCAAGGTTGGAAAAGACCTACAAGATCACCCAGTCCAACCATCCACCTACCACCAGTAGTTCTCACTGCACCATGTCCCTCAACACAAAATCCAAACGAGACATCTTATAAATAAATTCTATATTTATTGGCTTGATGGACTGTAGGTGATAAGTGCTATCACCTTTAAGTGAAAATAATGATTCCCAATTTAGGCAATTTAAGAATTCTGTGGTAAGTGTGATGACTGGAAAGTTTTAATTACACTTACTCTCTGGTAGAATAATTCAATGCAGGAAACAGTAGAATAGCAGGAAAAACAATGTAGAGATGTGGACATGAACTTGTTAAAAACAGAATCAGAATAGTTTGGAATTTGTTATGGATTTGAATTCATAACTGAAATGAAAAACTAATGGTGAACAAAAGCACGGACACAGAGCAACACATACAAAGCCAAAACAACTCCACAAAGCCAGGCTACTCTGGTTTTACTGCTGTGTTCCCTTGTGGAAAGTTATCAGACTTCTTTAATAACCCCTGTAAACCAATCAAACTAGAAAAAACTAGAAAAAAGTCTATAGCAAAGTAGTGGCAAGAGCAGTTTAAATCTCAAAATTCTTAATGTGCATCCAAATCATATTAGCGTGAATCTAATTATGTGTTTTATTGAGGTTATAGGTTAGTAGTCCATAGTCAGAAAATTAAATACTTGTCTTCACATCAAAATGCATCCAAAGAGTTTGTATGTCTCAGTACAGGACAATGGAGGCAGGTTAGAAGCCACAGTCAGCATCATTTGTATTACACAATTCACACAGAATCACACACAGAAACACCAAGGTTGGAAAAGACCTACAAGATCACCGAGTCCAACCGTTCACCCATCACCAATAGTTCTCACTACACCATGTCCCTCAACACAAAATCCAAACGTTCCTTAAACACCTCCAGGGTCGGTGATTCCACCACCTCCCTGGGCAGCCCATTCCACTGCCTGACCACTCTTTCAGAAAAGCAGCATTTCCTAACATCCAGCCTAAATCTCCCCTGGCGCAGCCTGAAGCCATTCCCCCTGGTCCTATCACTAATGACACGAGAGAAGAGGCCGACCCCCAGCTCACTGCAACCTGCCTTCAGGAAGTTATAGAGAGCAATGAGGTCTCCCCTGAGCCTCCTCTTCTCCAGGCTGAACAATCCCAGCTCCTTCAGCCTCTCCTCATAAGCCCTGTGTTCCAGACCTCTCACCAGCTTTGTCGCCCTTCTTTGAACACGTTTCAGGGCCTCAATATCTTTCTTGCAGTGACGGGCCCAAAATCCATAAAGGTGTGTCTATACCATAAGACACGTATAAGTTTTTTATAATGCAATCAGAAAATAACAAAACTGATATTTTTCTTAGTTGAGATTTAAGCGCACAAAGCTGAGTTTCGTAATTCTGAGCCATTTTGCAGTTAGTTTTCTGTAAGTTCTCCAGTTGCTGACAAAGTAGTTAAAACACACCACAAAGCCAGATTGCAGCAATCAAACTGCATATTATATGATGAATTAATGATAAAACTATGTGAGTCTGTCATGAAAGATCCCTTAACGAAGCATTTCTGACCCAACTATAGAAATGAGCTGCTGTGCCCCAACATAAGAATTTTGCTTGAATTGTTTACATCTTGAATTATCCGAGATTTTCACAGAGACATGGGAATATGACAAAGAGCCTACAAGATACCTAGTTTTTTTTGGAGAGGCAGCTGAAAGCCAGTTGCAATGTGCTAAAATATTTCAGATAACATCTGTGTGTGGGCAAATGGATTGATGCTTTAAGGACTGGCTAGCTGAATTATTCTCTTGGCTCCTTTGACTGCAATGACAAAGGCCAAGTTCCTACAGTTGTTTGTTAGGGAGAGAGAGATCCATTTCAAGACTCCCACTGGCCCCTAGCACACATGAGGACACCCACATGTAAACACCTAACACCTAACTTCAGATGTCTTGCAATGGAGCTGAATGTTGTGCCAGGATTCACCGATACTTCTGAGACAGTACTCAGCACACACGACTTGAACTGCAGTTGATGTCAGATCTGCTGGTGCCTTCAGTTTGAAATTAACATTCAAAGCCAGTACAGCATGTGAAATGATAAAAATGGTGTATAAATACGAATTACAGTGACATAATTTTGTCAAACTTTTGGAACTGCATTTTTCCATTTAAAATTTCTGATTAAAGTAGAAGTATTGTCATCTAGGAAAAAAAATCAAATTATCTTTTCAAAGCTAATCTGAGAATATTTGATTTAAACTTTAAGGAAATAAAAGAAATATGGGACTTTGAATGACATTTTTACAATCACTTTTCAGAACAGAAGCCCACTTTAAATTAAAATAGTAAGGATAATTTGTGGCCTCCAAAGAGTTTGGTATTTTTGCATGGTAGATCAAATAAGCCTACAAACAGAGCATTGTGATCACACTACTCACTTCTTCACAGGATATAAACTTTTTTACAGATCTGATATTCTCAAATACCTCTTGACCTTTTTGATCCAGTTTGCTTTGGGCACTTGCTGATTCTTGATGCTGGATATCCATCTGTGCTTTGAAAGCTTTCATCTTCCTTTCCCATTCTACTTTCTTGCTGTTTACTATGATGACAGTTTGATGCAATACATCCTGAAGAGCAGCTTCACGTGAAGAGGCTCTGTAACAATAATAATGAGAAAAACCATTTTTTTTTAAATACAGGGTGAGGGAGAAAACAAATTTGTAGTAACATTGCTAAGACTCCATTTTACTTCTGATGGAAGTAGCCATTTTTCAACATCAGAAAGGAAAGCAATGGAAAAGTGATACTTTCAAAACTTAAATCATAAGTTTGCCTGAAGTCCAAATCTGAATATTCAGCATATTCCTGGCTTTTTGTCTAGCATAAATAGTGCTTGATATCCTCTTGCTCCCTCAGAGACAAAGTGTTGTATGAGCATAAGTAAGTAGAAAGTATCCAGGCTGAAGCTCCAAGAAAAAGAGCAGGACAATATCAAGTTGCTTATGGACACAGGACTTCCTACTAAGTGTTGAGCAATGGTGGAAAAAGAGTTTACTGGAGGAAGTTACTAAACAGCTAGCTTGAAAGCTAGTCACTATGCTTGATTGCTGGTTCAACATTTACACTCTATTTTCCTGTTGTGGAAAATGAACTTAAATAAAGAGGCTTCTATAACACTACCCATATTTAATACCACCAGGAAGCACAGAAATGAGGGCGTTTTGAAAATGACCTTGTTTTGGGGAGACCATAAACATTGGAAATTTTCCAAACTTAAGAGGCTAAGTTTTGATCATGTCCTCTGCAGTACAACTTCACTGTCAGGGATGGAACATTTTTTGCATTGCTGCTTTAGGAATATGATGTATCATAAGGAATAAAATGATGGTATATGGCTAATACATGAGATATCAGCAACTTAAAGCAGTCAAAGATACTCTTAGTCATCTTCTTGTACTTACATGGGAGCAATAAATCAGATGGTATATACCATTTAGCAGACACATAAAAAGCACCTGAACTTTAACATGGAGATTTCTTTATTCCATATAAATTCAAACTTTGTATTTGATAATGAGTATTAGTAAAAAATGAAATAAGAATGATAACAAATTTGGTCAGGGATACTTTCTTTGCAAGAAATAGCACAATTTTTTCAGCACTCCAAAAATTTCCATTTGTAGAAATGCCTATTTTACATCTACATTCTACAGTTCTTCTGGGTATATGAGATTTTTTCCCTAAGTGTTTTGGGGGCTTTATTGCCCAATAAACTCAATCGTTTTATGAACTGTGTTTCTCTCCATCTGTGAATTTACAGCTGGCATTTCAGAATGGCAGCCTCTATTTAAGTTGGAACTAAAACTTGTGGATCTATTCAAATTTCGATGAAACATTCCAGTTAGGAAAAAGAAAATGACAATATAATTAAATAAAACTTTTTACTGAAACATTTCTAACAGTTTTATTTTTCCAACGTACTGCTTTGTATCCATTTAAGATAGGATTCTGGTGTTTTGTGAAAAGGAAGAGGAGACAATGCACACTCTTGCCTAATTCCTTTACGTTAAATAAAGAAGGGGAATTTCATTCCATTAACATTTAGAGCTATTTTTGGACCACTACAAAGACTGAGCTGAAGTGGCATTTATCTCACTGAAGTGAAGGAAAATCTTTTACTGATTGTTTTTAACCAGTGAGCAATGCATTGAGTTTTTAACCTTTCGAGATGCAGCATCTCATTCATTTCCTTTTTGGTAAAGCTCTACTTTCCACACATTTTATCAGTGGCATCTGTTATCTATAGGCCCTTTTCTCATATTAGTTAACAATTTTTTTTTTTAACTTCCTTTTGTATCTTTCTTTTTCCTATTATGGTTTTAATTAAAGTTTTCTATATGCTTGTTTGTTTTAAATAGATAACATTTATAAACTGCCCGCTTATACAGTTTATGACTTTCTTTTGGCCTACCTTTATCTTATCTTTGGCACGTATAGGGAAGTGTTGAAATGTGCCATCAGTAGCCACTCTTGTCTTACCTTGGCCATGAAAAAAACCTCATTTAAAATCCTCAAATTACTCCTTTTAGTGCTATTATCTCACCATTATGAAAATCATTACAAAAATGTCTCCATTTTCCCTCTGCAACGATTCAGAGATTAGTGTACTCAATTACTGCTGTATCTACATGAAAGTACAAATAAATCGTGGTGTTTTTTTCTGCAGTGTCATCTGTCTCCCTCTTAAGTCAATAGCTTGTACTGTTAGTAAACACCTGTTTGCTCTTCCCTTTTTTCTGTCACAGTGCCTATTCATTGTACTCTTGTTCATGTAAACTTCATAAAATTGAAGTTTAATCTAAATTTAATTTCAGTTTCCTCATACTGCTGGATGATTTTCAAGCCTCTTATTACTTTTATTCTTTTGGTTCATAAAACGAGCAATTGTATTCTTTCATAAATTTGATCATCTAAGATGATGAAAAATGTATTGTAATCTATTACTTTTCACTATAATATATTTAGCAGTCTGATAAGAATCTCTTCTCCTAAACAAATCTAAGCGTGGTGTCACTGCTTTGAGTTTTCCTCTTAAAAATATTATCTCAACTAATCTTTCTAAAAATAAGTAAAAGAACAGTAACTAGTGACTATTTAATTCACACACGCTTAAAAGTTACCAGCTCTCTTGACTGGTACCCTATCTCTTGATATGGTACACGCAGTTGTGTGGCAAATGCCTCTGTGACTGCCTATCAGGTTTGCAGTCATTAATATCTGTGGGGCGACAGTCTGAAAAAGTGAGCGTAGCCACTTCCTTTACGAATTCTCTACCATTTCCTAGCTCTCTTTCCCCTCCTTCCAAGTGTACCCATCAGTCAGTAATTTATGAAATAATTGCCATAGATTTGGTCACAGAGACAAAAAAAAGCCAGTGCAGCATCTGCATAATGTAGCAGCAACACGCAGAAGGGTTAATGACAAAGCACAGAGCAGCAGGCATGTAACCACTCTGTCCTAAGGGGTGCTGGTGAGGATTTCAATATCCAAAATTAGCACAGGATACCATTTCGTGTCATGTACTTTGCAATCTAGCAGATTTTTTTGGAGTGGACATTGCAACTAAGAACGTGCCAAGCAATTAGGAACTCTTTTAGCAGAACCCAACTAATCAAACACAAACTGAACCATGGACTCAGAGGTTATACTGTCTTTGTTTCAGCTGGCACAGAGTTGGTTTGTTTCACAGTGTCTGCTATGGTGCTGTGTTTTGGTTGTAGGAGAAAAATAACGTTTGATAACACAACATTTCTAGTTGTTGCTAAGCAGTGTCGTAAAGTGCCAAGACTGTTCCAGTTTGTCCTCTCCTACAAATGGCTGGGGGTGGGTACAAGAAGCTGGGAGGGGACAGAAACAGGACAGCTGACCTAAACTGGGCAAAGGGACATTCCATACCACATGACATCATGTGGAAGGAGTTTTGAAAGGAGTGGGAGTTCATCATGCTCTCTTCCATTGCTGAGGGTGCTAGCTGGGCATTGGTTGGTGGCTGGTGAGCAATTGCTTGTGCATCACTTGCTATATACACATAAAAATATGGATATATTTGTCCTGTTATCCTTTGCCTTTTCTCTATCTTAGCAAATAATTGTATCTCAACCTATGAATTTACTTCTTTTTTTTCCCCTGTTCTCTGGGGGAGTTGAGTGAATGACTGTGCTGTGTTTAGGCATCTGCCAGGTTAAACCAGCACATCCCTAATGCCTGTGAGCCTTCAGCTGCTGAGTTTGCAGCCAGTGCACCACTGAAGAGCAGTACAGGTACTCACATGTGCCTCTGCTCTAAATGGCTATGGAAAACAGGCCCTAATATAAGCATACATTTTACTCCTTGTAGTTGATGTCAATACCTAGAGGAAACATTGGGATTTCTTTCAAGTTAACTATCTGTTTGAAATAACAAAGGCAGTGGATAAAAATGTCCCTGCTGTAAATGTTTCTGGTAATCTTTCACTTCCTCACTGTTCAACCAGCTTCCTGACTGTCAGCCCTCCTGATACCTGTGCAGACACACCAAAATCTTCTGTCTGTAGGTTCTGCTCAGAATCAAGCACTGGCCTCACACATTCTGTACTCCATATCTCGCATGCTCAACTTCTGAGTGTAGTGCACTAAGAAGAATTCCTTTACATGGAAATATGTTTAGTGAGGGTTTTTGGTGCTTAAAGGTGCATACATAATAATCGTGACAATTGCTAAAGAAATTCAAATCTTGGGAACGTTGCCATTATCAGTATTAAGCTAGGAAAGATTTTATAAATACTTTAAAAAATCTTTAATAAAATTTAATATCATTCATAGAATGACCGGAACAAAAAAGCAAGCAAGTAGCAAGCAACAGCATGATACAGTACAAGAAAGACAGAGAGCTGTTGGAGAGGGTCTGGAGGAGAGCCACAAAGATGATCAGGGGGCTGGAGCACCTCCCCTGCAAAGACAGGATGAGGGAGCTGGGCTTGTTCAGCCTCAAGAAAAGCAGGCTGCGGTGTGACCTCATTGCAGCCTGCCAGTACCTCAAGGGAGCCTAAAACAGGAGAGGAATCAACTCTTTGAAAGAGTAGATAACAGCAGGACAAGGAGAAATGGTTGGATGTCAGGGGGAAATTGTTTACTATGAGGTGGTGAGACACTGGAACAAGTTGCCCAGAGAACGCTGTGGATGTTTCCTCCCCAGAGACATTCAAGGCCAGGCTGGGTGGGGCTGTGAGCAACCCGGTCTAGAGGGAGGTGTCCCTGCCTTTAGCAGGGGTTGGAACTGCATGATTTTAAAGGTCCTTTCCAACTCAAACCACTCCATGATTGGTGGCAACATGTCAGGGAACAATGAGCAAGGACTCTGCTATCTGATTTTAGCCTTCATAAATTGGTACTTTCTCTGTTGTGCATCATATAGATTATCTAAACATTGCTGTGCAACTCCAAATGTGATCTCTAGCCTGGACCACCTGATTACCATTCCAGATCCACCATGGCTGACATCCTTTCCTCTCGGGTTGTTTCACCTATTCTTTTGAGATCAATTCCAACAAGACAAGTTCTGCAGCTGTTGCTAGAAATTTTTCTTGCAGCAATTATTGCAAGTTTCATGAACCTAGAACTGCCAGTATAGAAAATGGACACGTTGAAGGAAAAAATCCCATCTGAAGCAGCTTCTCAGTCTCTCAATTTTCTCCTTTTCATCTTTGTCTGCTTCCTTACTTAGATCCTTTAGGTACATTCACAACTAAAAAAGGAAAGCTGTACCGGAAGCTGTAGATTACTGCTTCTGTTCTTACTTCCAGAGCTGCTCTGTATCATCACTGTAGCATTATGCACATCACTGCATAAAGATGCACTTAGCAGTTATCCCCACCTACTAGCGCAGAAGGACTAAGAGCTGCTGTGCCTATTGTTTTAATCCCTTTGGTGTTTTGAAGGCAGTGGTTTTTACACTCCCTCAGGATATGACCAATCATATGGTGCGAGAATTATGCAAATTTTAATTTCATCACTGGAGGTGGAAGGTGGGAAACTCTGGCATGTTTTGTTTAATATAGGATCAGGTGAAAACACAGGGAAAAAGTTTTCCCATGAAGGGAAGAAGGATGGGGATTTTACTCATAAGCATTCAGCACTCCTACACTGCTGACTGCGTACAACAAATGCATTCCTCCCACATGGAACCAATGACTTGTATTTAAGCAAGTGGGAACTACTCTGTTGCATTTACTATGAAATGGCTCAAAACACTGTAAAGTAATGCATTTTTAAAGAGATGTAGGCAAACTCTTAGTCCTTTTACTCTATTTCCATAATAGTGAAAACAGAGATGATTCATATTCTGCTGTCATTAATGACTATTTATCTGCATGTCAAACGTGTGTATTTCCAAATTTAGAAAAAACCAAATCCTGTACAACCAGCTTTTATTAAAGCTTTCTTCAGCCAGAAGAAGGTGTGGGTGAATATATGTGTTTCTACTACTTTAAGAAGTACTTTTACACTCAACATGTGCCTCATTAGCTAGACCGCTTCTTGATAAGAACGATATGAAGAACCATGTGATATGACATATGGAGAAGTGTTCTTTACCTTGCTCTGTTCCTTGAGCAGGCAGGATGATATGAGACCCTACATCAAATCTCACCCATGGTTTGTGCTGTGCTGTATTTTTTTTCAGATTAAAGCAACTCGATTTGGATGATGTGGAAAAAAAAGATGAGTGTGTTGGGAAGGGAAATGTGCTTAATGTTTGGCAGAACAATTTTGGTTATTGTATGTGAAAAATAAAACTACAACTTGAACAACCAACAACCCTGTTTCTAATAGTTTTGAATGTTTTAAGTGCTGTGATATTTAAGTTTATACTGCTGTAGCCTAGCAACTTCAAGAATTTTTGAAGACCATTCAAAATTCTTAACATCTTAATAAAACCCAGTTTTCATTGTTTTCTTTTGTTTAGGTATGCAGATTTTAAGGATTTAAATAAATAAAAGTAGAAAATTAAAGCTCTGAACTGTGTTGTCTTAGGCATCAGTAGCCTCCTTACATCTTGCCCAAAAAGGATAAAAGAATATTTGCTTCTGAGATCATCAGTGTTTTGTTTTACATCCTTAATAAACCCATACAATTCAATTGCATTATGCATTTAACCTCCAGACAGTCTTTACTTACTTAGTGAGAGTCTGTTCTTGAAATACTTTTGAGCCCTGCTCCATATTATAGCCTTGTTAACCTGTTGGAACAGCAAAAATCATATAATTCAGATTCTCTCAAGTGTGCTTGTACATAGCAAAGCAGTACATATGGGATAGTTCAGTGCTTTCCCTTAAATTTCTGTGATTCTTCCATGCAAACAACAGCAGAAGAGAAATGATTACAGACTGCAATGGGCAACATGAAAGCTTCAGGAGTAAGTTCAGGTCTCTCAGCAGCTGCTACACTTGATGCAGCAGTGAGATAGTTGAGGTGCTGCTGGCTTGAAGATACCGCTGGATTTCCATGAGGAAGAATTTGGTTTGGATCATTCTCTGCTAGTGATATCAGTGATCTGCTCCAAAACACACGAAAGTAAATTTGCCACAGTTTCATGGGTGCAGTCAGCAGCCATTTCTCCAGTGTCATAGTGCAGAGGTCAAATTCCATCTCTTCATAATTAAGTTATACTGGGCCATAATTGCTCTCAAACGCATTTTTGGACTCACATTGACTATTTGTTGCCATGTGCTGCAAATGCAGCATGGGGACACACAGCACTCAAGTGTCTTGGTGGCAAGGACAGAGTGTGATTCTGGGAACAACCTGGGTCTGTGTGTCCGAAGGAACAGAGACCTGGAGAAAGCCTGGGTGCGTGCAAGGACAGGAACCTGTCACAGACTCTCAAGAGGATGGATATCAGCGTGTACAGGTGTGTGGACACCACTGCATGGCACCAGAGCCACAGGACCTCTGATTCCACAGAGGACGGGCACCTGAGGTGACACAGGTACAGGATCACCATCCTTGGATCCACCTTGGTACCACAGAATCATAGAGGTTGCAAAAGAGCACTAAGATCACCATGTCCAACCATCAGCCCACCCCACCATGCCCACACACCGCATCCCTCAGTGCCACATCTCCACGGTTCCTGAACACCTGCAGGGATGGCGGCTGCACCACCTCCCTGTGCCAATGCCTCGTAACTCTTTGTGAGGAGTGTTTCCTAATATCCAACCTCAACCTCCCCCGGTGCGACTCGAGCCCATCACCTCTTGTCCTATCACTGTTATGTGGGAGAAGAAGCTGACCCCAGCTCACCACAACCTCCTTTCAGGTGGTTGTAGAGAGCGATAAGGTCTCCCCTGAGCCTCCTCTTCTCCGGACCGAACAATCCCAGTTCTCTCAGCCGCTCCCCATAAGAATTTTGCTCCAGACCCCTCACCAGCACCTGGGGTGACACAGCAGATCTGTGGCTCCGAGAGGGAGCGGCACTTGAGGCGACCCAAGCACCGCGGACGCGCCGATCCGGGACACCCCTGCATGAACGAACACGGCGGAGCTCCCCGGACCCTCAGCGGAGCCCTCCCCGCCCGTTACCTGCCGCTCCTCCCGCCGCCCCCTCCGCGGGCTCCTCAGGCTCCGTGGCCGCAGCACAGCCCCTCGGCCCGCTCGCTCCCGCCTGCCGCCCTCCCCGCCCGCTTTGCGCCGCAGCCCTTGCCGCGGGGAGCGAGGCGGGGATGGAGCGGTGCCCGTGAGGAGAGCGCCGGGACGGAGCTGGGGCAGAGCTATGGATTATGAGCAGTGTGTTTAAAATGTAAGATTAAAATAAAAGTATGTGCAGAATTTCAAGGAAGTTCGTGATGAAGTTTGCTTGCTCGGACTTTAGCGCAGCCTTTCACTCTGTGTTCCACACAATTCTCTGGGAGAAGCTGCAGCCCGTGGCTGGGATCCGTGTGCTCTTACCTGGGTAAAGGGCTGGCTGGATGGCCGGGCCCAGGGAGTGGTGAGGAACAGAGTTAAATCCAGCTGGCCATCGATAACGAGTGGTGTTCCCCAAGGGTCCGTACTGGGGCCTCTCCTGTTCAGTATCTTTACTGAGGACATGGATGAGGGCATTGAGTGCACCCTCAGTCAGTTTGCAGATGACACTGAGTTGGCTGGAAGTGTTGACCTGCCTGGGGGAGCGAGGCCCTGCAGAGGGATCTGGACAGACTGGAGAGCTGGGCCAACAGGATGAGGTTCAACAAGATCGAGTGCCAGGTCCTGCACTTCGATCATAACAACCACAGGCAATGCTACAGGCTTTGGGCAGAGCAGCTAGAAGTTGCACCTGTGTGGAGGAAATGGATATGGCAGTGTTGGTTGATGCTCAGCTGAGCATGAGCCAGCAGTGTGCCCAGCTGGCCAAGAAAGCCATTGACATCCTGGCTTGTATCAGAAACAGTGCTGCCAGCAAGAACAGGGAGGTGATTATCCCTCTGCACTCAGCACTGGTGAGACTGCATTTGGAGTGCTGTGCTCAGTTTTGGACCCCACACTATAAGAAAGACACCGAGGCTCTGGAGTGAGTACTGAAGGGCAATGAAGCAGTGGAGGGGCTGGAGCACAAGTCTTGTGGGGAGTGGCTGAGGGAACTGGGATTGTTCAGCCTGAAGAAGAGGAGGCTCAGGGGAGACCTTATCACTCTCTACAACCACCTGAAAGGAGGTTGTGGTGAGATGGAGGCCCGCCTCTTCTGCATAACAGTGATAGGACAAGAGGTGATGGGTTCAAGTCGCAGCAGGGAAGGTTGAGGTTGGATATTAGGAAACATTTCTTCTCAGAAAGAGTGGTGATGCACTGGCATAGGCTGCCCAGGCAGTCACCATCCCTGCAGGTGTTCAGGAGCCATGGAGATGTGTCACTCCATGGAGGGAGTGACACATGAGGGATGTGATGTGTGTGGGCATGGTGGGGTGGGTTGATGGTTGGACATGGTGATCTTTGGTCTTTTCCAACCTCCATGATTGTATAATTTCTAATACTGCCAGGTGCTCCTGCAGTGTCTCATGACTCTGCCTTGCAGCAGCTGTGACCCAGGTTATGGCTGCATTGTGCCGGAGCTGTCCTTGGGGACAGGCAGCCAGAGCCACAGGGAAGGGAGGAGGAGGCTGAAGAATCTGCTGCGCTCCTAGCCCTGAAAACATGACACCCATTTGTCCTAATTACTGCAGTAGAAAGAATGTGAAGAAATGATCTTGAAACATTTGGTTATTGCTGCCTGAAATATCTTATGTGTAATTTCTTGCATGGAAATGTTATTGTAAGGTTTTTTTTTGTTTTGTTTTGTTTTGTTTTTTTTTAATGAAACCCTTCCTCCCCCACCCCCAAATTTTATAATTATTTATTTAAAATATATAAACGTAGGGTTTTAAATATGTTGTAGAAATAATTTGCAGTGTAACTGCCAGCAAATTTGCAGTGTAACTGCCAGCAAATTTGAGCAACTGAAGTCAACTTTTCAGCCCTATTCCCACTGGGCTCATTTTAATTTTCTACCTGTCTCATACCTTCTCCGTGGTAATCAGTTATTCAGAGATTTAACTTCCATCTATCATGCCCAAATAAAATGTGAAAAAAAGCCCCAACATGCACACAGAAAAATAATTTTAAAATGACATATCAGTGCTTTAAAAGCTTTTCTGAAGGACAGTTCCCACAACTATCAGAGTTGTGTTTCTAATTCCTGGATGCTCCTTTGAATATCTCATTTGCTATATTAAAAAAAAATCTCCTACAATATTTCTGACATTTTCAATTTGCTTTTGCTCATGAACATTATCTTTTGACTAGATCTTGTTAATGAGAACAAAAATTTTCACTTGTTGACTTTAAAAAGGTAATTAGTGGTATTCAAAGCAGATGGAGAGGAAGCATAATAAGTGCAAAATAATTAAAGATTTTGTAAAGGGTATTTATACATACATTAAATTACGGTAGCCAGTAAAATAATAAAGAAAAATAAAGTACTTAAAAACCTACAAATTAGTGGAAAGATACAAGCACAATTCTGCAGGAAAAAAGAGGAGTCATTTCAGGTCAGGGACAAAACTGTGAATGACCAAATGTCAAACAAGATAAGGCACAGCACTGATATTAAAACAAAAAGGGAAAATCAGCAAGGCGGACACTCACAGTCAGAATAACCAGGCAACAAGAGACATTTGGATTTTGTGTTGAGGAACACGGTTTAGTGAAAACTATTGGTGACAGGTGGATGGTTGGACTGGATGATCCTGTAGGTCTTTTCCAACCTTGGTGATTCTATGATTCTGTGATTCTGTGATTCTGAGAGTGCAGGGAAATCCAAAGAATGGATGGGTACAATGATGTATAGCTTCAGCAGGATACACCTTGCTCAGGCTGGTCCTGGGATTCATGAAGCAAAATGAGATTAACAGCTCTAGTAGAAGAACTGGAAGAAGCTGTATGAAGAGAGTTGTTCATTTTTCAATACCTGCAACTCCAAATTGCCAGATTCTTCTCTTTTTTTGTGGCATTGCGTCACATTATTGATGGGTAGGTATCCTGTCTGTCCACCTAACAGAGCATATGCCACAGCTGTTCCTGTTTTGGAGGGAACCATTGAAAGTGGGTCTCTTCATATGGGATGTGCTTTGCCACTGGTGTGGGTTTTACATGGAATTGTAGAGCTTTTGTCCATAATGTTTAAGAAGCATGTAGTTATTCTAAGATACGGCGCTGAAAGGCAGGCAAACTAAATTCCGTTGCAGTTGCAGAGTTGCAGTTCCTCTCCACCAATTGTATTAAGAGCTTCTGAAGAAGTCCTAAGTAAAGTGAAATGCCTTTTAGTCTAATAATTATGCTGAGAATTTAGAACACAGTCATAGAATCACAGAGCAACGGAGGCTGAAAGGGACCTCAAAAGATCATCTGGTCCAACCATTGCTGGATAAGGGCCTCTGGATAAGATTATACGGCACCAGTCCAGTCATGTCTTGAAGACTTCTGTCACATCCCTGGAGAGTTTTTTTTCAGCAGTTGATTGTTCTCACTATAAGAAATTTCTTTCCTTAATTAAGACTTTTTGCCCCTTGCTCTACCCATGTGGCTCCTTGTGAAAAGAGAGCCTCCATCCTTTTGTAGCCACCTTGTACACACTGGAATGAGGTCCTCCCCGACCCTCCAGCAGGGCAAAAAAACCTTGACTCCTTCAGTTCGTCAATGATGTTTCTAAAATGTGGGGACCAGAACTGGATGTAATACTCCAGGTGCAGCCCAACAAGTGCCGACTGGGACATTTTTCACAATAAATTAAATCAATAGCATACAACTTGATGTAGCCTATTTCCAGGGCAGAATAAAAAAAAAGAAGTGGAATTTAAGTGATAAAATGCCAGATGGTCCCCTTTCCTTGATATCTGGCACTTGAATTCTTTAAGACGTGACACTTTTGTAGTATAATGTGTAACAATTAGTAAAAGGCAAATGCTTTGTGTGTTGAACTCCAGATGTAGTTTTTGTTTTATTTATTTCTGTATATTGATACTGATTCTTGCAATCTCAGATGACAAACTTGTGTTAGAAAAAAACCCTTTTGCTGCAAAAGACAGTCTAGCTCTTGTAAGAAACACACATGTGAAATTGCTTTCTTTGGTGTAGAAATCACGTTGTTTTATTAACACTTGCGGGATGGATTCACAGCAGCTCTAAAACAGTTTAATAATTATATTCTGTATGTTAGTTTGAATGTTTATGAACATATCAACTAAATTTAGGGGAGCTCTTTTAGAAGGTACAGATGGAAAGAAAAAGGAGTAGCTCAGCATAAGCCATTTGTCAACAAAAAAGGACAGCAGACAATAAGACCTATGGCAAAATTCCTAAGATACAAAGGTGGTAAAGGGCCCAGAGCATCTCCCATATGAAGAAAAGCTGAGTAACCTGGGTCTGTTCAGCCTGGGGAAAATAAGATTGAGAAGGGAGCTGATAAATGTTTATAAATATCTGAAGGGAGGTGGGAGGCAAATGGATGAGGCCAGGCTCTTCTCAGTGGTGTGCAGTGATAGACAAGGAGTAAAGGCCTAAAACTTGAACACAGGAAGTTCTGTACAAACAAGTGGAAGAACTTTTTTACGGTGTGCATGATGAAACACTGGAACAGGTTGCCCAGAGAGGTTGTGGAGTCTCCTGTAGAGATATTCAAAACCCATCTGGATGCCTGCTTGTGCAACTGATTGTAGGGAACCTGTTTTAGCAGGGGTTAGACTCTTGGGGTCCCTTTCGACCCCTGCCATTCTGTGATTCTGTGTTATAAGCACTGAGATAAGAACAATATTTTAGAGACAACTTTTGGAAGAGAGAGGGTTTTTTTTTTGTGTGCGTTTTTTCTTTTTTTTTTTTTTTTTGTAAAAATCAGAGAAGCATAAAATCAACGTAAGGATTCTGAAGGTTCCTACCTAATTTACTGGCAGGAGGTGATAAAACCTGACATAATGCATTGATAGGAGCAGAGTCCTGTTTCTAAATGATTTGCTTCAAGTTTAAGCTGAAAAGTGTTGTTCTTGATCAGCTTATAAGATCACATAAGGGAAGAAGGGAAAGAATTTGGATTTAGTTGGGCTTGCCAGGTAAACTGACTGATAACTCAGGCTGCAGTCTGGGACTTCTTAAAGTGGAGAACTGTCAGCAT